ATGATCTGCAATGAACATGGCCAGGTGCACACCAACCGAGAAGTGGTATAACCATAATTGCGAGGCTCTTTTTTTTTTTTTTGTGTGTGTGTGTGTGGGGGGGTAGTTGCATATGTACCCCATTCAAAGATGGAAATACCCGCTATACCCAGACCCGGCGCCCAACTTGCACCAGTACCCGAAAATTGTCCGTGCAAACTATTTGTATACCCAGGAAGGAGGGCCAAGGTTGGTACCGCCAAATTGCAGATATACCCAACTACTGGAATGCTAACTATGCACATACCCGGGCAAATTACGTGCATACACAATTTTGCCTGCCTGGTTCCTGGGCATAAGCATAATTTTGTGCTCCCCAAACCAAGGGCAGAGAAATAACGCTGACATCAGACGCATTCATACGCTGACATTGGACGCATTCATGGACAGACTTGAGAAGTAATGCACGACAAGCGCGAAAAACGACGCAAGGTATCCAGTCGATTGGGTATAGCGGATATTCCCATTCTATAATTGGGGTACAGATCCAATCTTCCCTTTTTTTTTTTTTTTTTACCTAGACCATTTCTCGATTTATGCGTGTCAACCTTGCGCAGGGGCGATGCTAATCTTCTCTGTATCGGTCCAATTTTAACGGGGGCAAGGTCCCACTTGCGTAAATTAGGAGATTTCGGCCGTCGATCTTTGCTATTTACGGTCAGTATCTCTTAATTCGTGCAAGTGGGACCTGAATGCAACGTACTCTTCGTAGTCCTTTTATCGCTGTATCTAGACTGAAAGCAGCCCAAAATACAGGGTTGATGAACCTACGCTCTATTCGAAGGAAGACGGTATTAAATCGCAGCAGTATTTTTTGCCTTGCCTGTTCAAGCCCATCCTGTCTGAAAATCTCGAATACTACGCGAGATGCAGCAGCCATCTTCTTCCGAGGGCAACGCACCCACATCATCAACGTATACATACGATCTTTCCGATCTGATACAGAGCGTCGCTCCAGTACTCTCGACATGCACAGAAGACAAAAAATATAGTGCTGTATCTTTCCATGTTCTACCGGAAGATTCGTTCTCGTTTTGCACATTTCGAGAGTACTGGAGCGAGGCCCACAGTCCTAGTGAGGGTAGGTTGTGTTCGTGGGAACACGGTACCGTACTCATCATACCCATACCCAGATTCAGTTGAAGGGAAAACAAGACCACCTCCACAAGAGAGAGCAGGATACAACCTCCTATTACTATAAGCCCATCCCCGAAATGGGGGATGAGACGAAAACAGCCTCCTACTATGGGCAACTATCAGCGATAATACCCCTGCGTTCTATCAGCGAGGAGACCGTAGCAAGCATCCATCACCCACCCCCGCCTCTCGCGAACGTCTTCATCACAGCTCCCCCGTCTTTTTTTTTTTTTTTTTTTTTTTTTTTTTAAAGGGCGATGGCCTTG